TTGCACTCTAGCCTGGGCAACAAAAGCAAAACTCCATTTCAAAAACAAAACACCATTTTTTAGAAGGGTGGAGGAGCCCTTCCTGGGACTCGGAACTTCAAGGCCTCTGTGGGCCACACTGCAAGAAGAGCGCATTGTGGGACCCTGGCTGTCTACCACATCCCAAAAGTGTCCTAAAAGCGCTCTACAGCCAAGCACAGACACCAGTGTCACGCCGAGGGCTACCCAAGCCCTAGTCAGTGGGGAATGAGTGTGGCTGTCCGCAGAGCATAGGGACGTCTCGGGACTCTCAGGAAGTAGCAGAGTCTGAGGGTCCCTGGGGAAGTCACATGCCTAGGTCCCTGCTACAAGGCTGGTCAGCCCCAAGACAGGGGCAGCAACCTCTGGACTGAGTTTAGAGCATCAGGCCCAAGCCTCCTGGGGCTCTCCTGACTCAGTTCTTCCCTCCTTTGGGCTTTGAGCCTGATTCACTCCCTGGAGACCGGTGGCTGCTCATGAACTTGCCCGGTGGGCACTGGACAGAAGCCGCTCCTGCCCCTAGATCCCCTGCCACCATTATCTGGGAGCGGCACGCAGGTTGGGGACAGCTCTAGGGACACTTAGCTTTGGGTGCCAGGGGCCTCTGCTGAGCTGGCTGCTGACTGCTGTGGTGCAGGCCTGGGAGCGTCAAGTGCTTGACAAAAATTTAAAAAGTAGCCGAGTGCAGTGCAGTGCCACTTGCTTATGGTCCCAGCCACTTGAGAGGCTGAGGCAGGAAGAAGGTCACTTGAGCTCAGGAGGTGTCTGGGGCCTGCCCCTCCACCGTGCAGGGTGTGAGGGCCGCCTGTCCTCCATCTGCGGGGCTCTGTGGCCCCCACAAGCTTGGTTCTCATGGTGCATTTCCGGCCTTTGTGTGAAGATGAGCTGTTTCAAGGAGGCCCGGGCCCAGGAGGAAGGCCCGACAGGGAGCTCCCAGGGCTCAGGCTCTGCTGCCTTCTCTTTCAGACAGGGTCCAGGCCCAAGTCCTGTGAGGTCCCCGGAATCAAGTAAGTCTCCCCAGGGCCCACCCCACACACTGCAGCCGCTGTGCCGCTTCTGCACCCTGGGGCTTTCCGTCCACCCCGGGGCTTTCTGTCCACTCTCTTGAGGTGGCAAGTCCCCGCAAGAGGGACACCGTGCAACCAGCAGCAGTGACAGAGCTGCCACACGCCCACCCCTCAGGCACCTCCTTCCCAGGGATGATGCCCTCTCCTGGGTGCAGGGAGGTCGCCGCCCCCGGTCCCCGCCGCCCCCACTGGGTAGTGGGGGTCCCACCGCCAGTGGTTTCCTGAGCACCCAGCACCTGATGGGGGGTGTCGTTTTGTACCTGCTGATTTTCTCCCGCCACCCTCCTGTCCCTGCTGCCAGCCGCACCCCGTGAGCTCACCTCCTGCCTCCTTCTGGCCTTTCCCCAGCATCTTCCCATCTGCTGACCAGGAAAACACTACAGCCCTGATCCCCGCCACCCACAACACGGGGGGCTCCCTGCCCGACCTGACCAACATCCACTTCCCCTCCCCGCTCCCGACCCCGCTGGACCCCGAGGAGCCCACCTTCCCCGCGCTGAGCAGCTCCAGCAGCACCGGTAACCTCGCGGCCAACCTGACGCACTTGGGCATCGGCGGCGCCGGCCAGGGTAAGGCGGGGGACGTTCCGCCCTCGGACGGAGCACCGGCCTCTGGAGACGACATGGGCATCTGCAGGGGAACTTGGCAGAGCTCTGTCCCAAATACCAGGGCCTGGGGACCAGGGCTGGGGGGCAGCAGACAGGTTGACGTGGTGGGCACAGGCATCTCGGGCAGGGGTGTGGCTGGAATGCAGGCCTGGTAGAAAGGAGCGCATGGCGCCCCCAGACACCAGACGGTGGCTTTGAGGGTGTGTGAGCGTGCTTGGGGAGTCCAGGAGGGGAGCCCTGGGGGTTTTCACACAGCTGGGGTGGGCCAGGCCTTCCCTCCGCCCCTCCTCACCCCCAGCCCTTCATGGGGGCAGGACCAGGCCTGACCTCCTTCCTCCACCTGACGTCTGATGCCTGCTTGTCACACCCTAGCCCCACACCACCTTGTCCCCCCAGCCCCCGCCCCGTCTCCAGCTCCACACTCCTTCCTTCCTCGGCCACTTCCACAGGGACTTCACACAGGCCCCTGGCCCGTCCTGATAGCTCCTGGCACTGCTGTCACCCTGCGTCCCCCAGGAAGCCCCTCCTGTGGCTGCACGGGTTGCGGAGGCGTCCCAGCTCCTCTGTCCTTTCCTGGCCCTGGCCCATCGTCAGCCTGTTGGTTCCACCCTCAGGACCTGGCCTGACCTGGGCCCTCCCTCCCCTCCAGGCTCCCAGCCCCCCTCCACTCAGAACAGCCAGCAGCCATGGCTGTCTCCGCTTGGGACCTTGCATAGCCCGCAGCTCCCTCTCAGTGAAAGCCTGAGGCCTCCAGGGCCTGGGATGCCCACCCTGGCTCACCCTGTACCCTCTGGCCCCAGTCAGCCCCAGCCCCACCGCAAGGCCCCTGCACACGGAGTTCTCCCCCTCCAGCCGGCCGAAGGGCTCCCTCCCTCCCCTGCCCTGCCCTGCCCTGCTCAGCCCTAGTGTCCTTGTCGAGGCTCCCCCAGCCCTGGTCTCTCCTGCTTTCCTGCACCCCTGCCCTGGCCCACGTCACTGCTCTGTCCTCAGCTGTCGCCTGCGTCCCCGTTGGCTGTATGGTACGTGGCCTGCATCCTGGGGGTGGCAGGCGCCTGGCTTCCAAGGAGGAGAAATGACATGACCCCCAACTAGCCCCAGGGGGTGGGACAGGCTGGAGGGACCGTGGGGGAATGCGTTGGGGGTGAGGGTGACACAGCCACCTCGCCATGCTCCGTCCTGCCCCAGAGCCGCAGAAGGAACCATCCCATTCTGCTTCTGCCCCAGGCTGGGAAGGCAGAACCAGGCAGGGCTTTCCACGAGACAGTCACGTGCTCACATTTATAACTGGCAAAGTCCCTCTGGCTGCCCTGGAAGAAGGAGCTGTTGGGAGGGGCGGCTGGTGAAGCAGGACAGCACCCCAGTCTGGGGCTCTGCAGGGAGACTCTGGGGTGAAATTGGCCAGCCTGGGAGCCGGATTGATGCAGAGAGTGAAGGAGACAGAGGAGCCTAGAGGCGCTCTTGGCTTTGGTACCAACGGGGCCAGGACAGGCAAGGGGTGTGGAGGGTGTCGCAAATGTCCCTGGGTTTTTTGGAGGAGGGTGTGGGGAGCAGAACAGTGAAAAGGGAAGATGGCCCCAGCTTGAGCGCATTGAGGCTGTTATGACTCCCACACCCAGGCCCTGTACCTGAGGGGCTCTGCCCCTGGACAGAGGGTACCAGCGAAGGCCCAGAAAACACAGCTGATTGGGAGGAGCCCTGTTCGTTGTCTGTAGATAGACAGGGCCAGGCAGGCAGCATCCACACGCACCTGTGTAGAACCAGGAAGCCAAAGGCCAGTGCTGGGGCTGCCGGTGCCCCTGTCCCACGTAGAAGCCCCATCTCCCAGCCCCTGCCTTTCCCCTCACGTCTCCCCACTGCCTCCAGAGCACACAGCCCCCTTCCTGCTGGAGGGTCCTTGGCAGCTCCCCAGCGCCCGCCCACGAGCTGCGCACCTCCAGCCGGCCTGCAGTCTAAACAAGCGCAAGGAAACACACAACACATGTGGGAGCCGGAGCCGGCGCTGGCCACAGCGGCCCGGTAATGCCTGACATGTGTCGGGCTATGTGTGAACCTGCCGCCCCAGCAGCCCACCCAGTGGGGGCTTTGCCGTCTAGGCGCCTTTTAGATCAAGCTGAGCTGCCGGCCCCTGGCATACACGAAGGCAGCCCCCTCCTTCCTCCCAAGCCCACCGCCAGTCAGAACGTGAGCCCCCTAGGGAGGAAGATGGAGGCCTTTGAGGCCCGGGAGACCGTACCCAGAGTGTGGGAGGAGGGCAGGCCCTGGCTCCTCCTTCCTGGCCTGGCTCTGAGGCCAGGCGGGCTCTGCCACCTGGCCCGCCCTCCCCTGGCAGCTCTCCCTGCCCGCCCCAGACTTCCCCTCCAGCTGGCTCTGCGCCTGTTCCCGAAGGTGAGCCAGGTTGCCAAAAGGAATTCAACAGCAAGGCGCCCATCCGCCCTCCTGGGCCAACTGGCCTCTCTAGGGGTGGCCAAGAGCTCGCTTTGCAGCCAGTGGAAGATTAAAAACTCCCTTGTATTCAGGGCAGACGTTAGAGACTGGCAGCCGAAGGGCCAAATCCAGCCCACGGTGTGTTTCGTGTGGCCCGCACTCGGGCATCTGCGATGCACACGCCACATCTTCACATCTCAGCCAACAGCAAACCACGTATTCAGCAGTGGCTCCATCAGAGTATAATGCCATGTCTTACTGCACCTTTTCGAGGCCTAGACACAGAAGTCCAGTTGCCTACTGTTTTTGGTTTTTGGTTTTTTTTGAGACTGAGTCTTGCTCTGTCTCCTAGCCTGGAGTGCAGTGGTGCAATCTCGGCTCACTGCAACCTCTGCCTCCTGGGTTCAAGCGATTCTCCTGTCTCAGCCTCCAGAGTAACTGGAATTACAGGCGTGCACCACTGCACCCAGCTAGTTTTTTTATTTTTAGTAGAGACGGGGTTTCATGGTGGCCAGGCTGGCCCAGAACTCGACTTCAGGTGATTTGCCTGCCTCAGCCTCCCAATGTGTTGGGATTACAGGCGTGAGCCATCATGCCCAGCCTGTTTTTTGTTTGTTTGTTTGGTTTTGTTTTTTGAGATGGAGTCTGGCTGTGTCGCCCAGGCTGCAGTGCAGTGGCGTGATCTCGGCTGACTGCCACCTTCGCCCCCGCCCCAGGTTCAAGCCGTTCTCCTTCCTCAGCCTTCAGAGTAGCTGGGATTACAGGCATGCACCACCAAGCTGGCTAGTTGTTGTATTTTTAGTAGGACCAGGGTTTCACCATGTTGGCCAGGCTGGTCTTGAACTCCCAGCCTCAGGTGATCCGTCCAGCTTGGCCTCCCAAAGTGCCTGGCCGACAGTATTCAGCATAGTCACGCTGTACAGGTTTGTCGCTTGGCAACAAGGGCCCTACGATGTGGCCGAGGTGTATAGAGGCTCTGCCGTCCAGGCTTGTGTCAGTTGCTCTGTGATCCCTCATGCACAGCCGTGAAATCGCCGGCCGATGCGTTTCTCAGAAATCACCTCTGTTGTTAAGTGATGCGTGACTGTACTTAGAATCAACACTGAAAAACCAGGGAGTGCCAGCAGAACACTGGATTGCTGGCTGCTCTTGGAGCATCAGACAGCCCGGTGGCCATGGGCTGATGTCCTGCACCTCAAGACAGGCCACAGTGCTCCGTCTGGCCTCAGGCCCCACTGGCCCTGTCAGCCCATATCCGTGCCCTCACACACCCCTGGCATTTGTCCCTGCTGTGTACTGAACCCAGCCTCTGCTTCTGACCTGAGCATTGAGCATCTGTCCGCCCGCTGGACGCACGAAGTGGCGGACTCCCAGGAGAAGATGAGGGAGTGGCCCAGGGTTGTGACTCTGAGTGTGCTCTGAGCAGGCTTCCCCCAGACTCTCCCGCCCAGGCCTCTGTTGAGGCCTCCCTGGATGCCAGGGTCTGCACAGGGCGCTGCCTGGAGAGCAGCACCAGGCTTCCAACCACAGCACGCAGCCAAGCAGAGCCGCCAGGGCATCCGAGGGGAAGTGCAGGCGTGACTGAGCTCGCCCGTGAGCAGCTGCCCTGGGCACGGACGAGGCTGTTTGTCATCTCCCCTTGGCGCTCGACGGGTGTGTTCCCACGGGCCCACGCACCCGCTGTCTCATCTGCCGGAACAAAGTTAATCTGGTGCCCGGATCTCCTGGGGTGAGTCAGGCGGCTTCACCCCTGCCTTGACTGCAGGCCAGATGCTCTTCAGAGCCTGCTCCTGACCTCCTGAGGGCCTCATGTTGAACCGTAGAGGGTGGCTACTATCATTGCCATCTTGCCAACCAGGAAGCTGAGTCTCCGGGGGGGATAGGGGTCAGGCCAGGCCCCCAGGGCTCCTCCTGCCATCGAGGGGCCTGTTACATGCCTGGCACGGTGCCCACAATAACCCAGCCAGCCCCAGCTGCTGCCACGTTGAACTCGACCTCACACAGCTCCATCACCGCAGCAGAATCCAAGGATTGGGTTGCTCGGGGCAAGGGCCTTGGGGGGCCAGGGTGAGGAAAGGGGTGATGAGGCGGCCCCTGACAGGACCTCCAGCAGGAATGAGGGTGTCAGACCCCAGGGCAGAGACGGGGGAAGGATGTTGAGGATTGACATTCTTAATTTCAGGCAGCCTGGCAGGGCAGGGGGTGGGGGAATGGCACTGCAGCTCGGGGAAGGCTCCAGGTCGGGGAGGAGGAAGTGGATGAGGGGATGAGGGACATCGGGGACAGCAGATGCTCGGCCTGGGGGCCACAAGAAGCAGCTACAGGAGGGGACACATTCACCAAAGGAGGGCAAGATCCATGAGACAATAGACGAAAGCACAGCATTCGGCAGGGCCTGCTGGCTTGAAGCTAACCACAACCCAAGCCATTTTCAGAAAACAAACAAACAAAAATTTATTGTCTCCTAAAAGTGGGAAGCACCACCTGGATGGGGCTCAGGTGCTGCCTCTCCCCCTCAGCCCTTCAGCCGGCTCCTCCCCTCGCCACAGGATGCCCCGCCCTCGGCTTCAGGCAGCCCTTCCTGGAATTCCAGCTAAAGTCCCTGGGAAGGCTCTCATTGGACCAGCCTGGTCGCATGCCTATCTGGGGGCCAATCATATGTTCCAGAGATGGGGATGTGCTGGTTGGCTGTCTATGGGAACACCTCCTTCCCAGAAGGAAGGAGAACAGAATGTGCTGGACTCTGGGACCCCCCCAGGGCAGGGATCAGGGTCTTGGAGGAGGAGTGCCCATGTTTGGCAGTTGGGACATACCCATGGGCTTCTGTCTGAGCAGTTGGGCTGCTCTCATGCAATGTGACTGTGGGTGTGTAAGCAGCCCTTTCTCAGCGATCAGTCTCATACCCACTCTCCCTCACTCCCACTTCCTTTCCAGGGATGAGCACACCTGGGTCCTCTCCGCAGCACCGCCCAGCCGGCATCAGCCCCCTGTCCCTGAGCACAGAGGCGAGGCGTCAGCAGGCATCGCCCACCCTGTCCCCACTGTCACCCATCACTCAGGTGCGAGGGCAAAGTGGGGGGCAGGTGGGAGGGGGAAAGGGAAAGGTGGAGGCCCAGCTCTGCCTCTTGGAAGACCTGCTCATTCTAGGAGGCCACGAAATCTTGAGAATGCTCCCAACACTTTTAATTTTTATTATTAAATTTTGAGGCCGGGCGCAGTGGCTCAGGCTTGTAATCTCAGCATTTTGGGAGGCTGAGGCAGGCGGATCACTTGAGGTCAGGAGTTCGAGACCAGCCTGGCCAACATGGTGAAACCCCATCTCTACAAAAAAATGTGAAAGTTAGCCGGGCGTGGTGGTGCGTGCCTGTGGTCCCAGCTACTAGGGAAGCTAAGATGGGAGGATCACTTGAGCCCAGGAGGTGGAGGCTGCAATGAGCACATTCACACCACTGCTCTCCAGCCTGGGAGACAGAGTGAGACCCTGTCTCAAAAAAAAAAAAAAAAGGGGGGTTTTTTTTTTTTTTTTTTTTTTTTTTTTTTTTTTTTTTTTTGGAGACAGTCTCGCTCTGTCACCCAAGCTGGAGTGCAGTGGCGTGATCTTGGCTCATTGCAATCTCCGCCTCCCAGGTTCAAGCAATTCTTGAACCTGTGCCTCAGCCTCCTGAGTAGCTGGGATTATAGGCTCCTGCCATCCTGCCCAGCTAATTTTTTTTTAAATTTTCGATGTTAGAGATGGGGGTTTGCCATGTTGACAGGCTGGTCTTAAACTCCTGGCCTCATGCAAGCCGCCCACCTTGGCCTCCCAAAGTGCTGGGACTACAGATGTGAGCCACCACACCTGGCCTTGTAATACTGTATTTACCTAAAGACGGTAGCAAAGTTCCCATTTTCATTTTCTGATTTTAGCAATCGAGGCTCCCCTCTTTGTTACCTCATCAGTGCAGCTTCATAGAGTGAGTTAGGAATGTTCATTTCTCCCTCATTTTTCAGAAGCATTTTTAATTCTTCTTTAAATGTTTGGTAAAATTAAGTGGGTATAATGATGAATTCCTGTAGTCCCAGGTACTTGGGAGGCCGAAGTGGGAAGATTACTTGAGCCCAGGAGTTTGAATCCCACCTGGGCAACGCAGTGAGACCCCATGTCTTAAAAAAAGAAAAAAAAAAAAAAGTTTGATAAAATTCACCAGTGCAGCCACCTGCATCTTAGCTCAAACCTGTTGGGAAATTTGCAATTTCTTCTGACTTCTTACAAGGCTATTCAGGTTTCCTGTTCTTCCTTGAGTCAGTTATGGTCACTTGTGCCTTTCTAGAAATTTATCCATTTTGTCTTTTTAAAAACAAAACAAACAACCCTAACAGAGAACATTGTCTCTTAATATTTTTTTATTTTATTTTATTTTTGAGACAAAGTCTCACTCTGTCACCCAGGCTGGAGTGCAGTGGCACGATCTCGGCGATTCTCCTGCCTCAGCCTCCCAAGTAGCTGGGACTACAGGTGTGTGCCACCGCGCCTGGCTAATACTTTGTATTTTTAGTAGAGACGGGTTTCACCATGTGAGCCAGGATGGTCTTGATTGCCTGACCTCGTGATCCGCCCACCTCGACCTCCCAGAGTGCTGGGATTACAGGCATGAGCCACCGCACCCAATCATTTTTTTTTTTTTTTTTTCTTATTTTTGAGACAGAGTCTCACTCTTGCCCAGGCTGGAGTAGTGGTGTGTTCTTGACTTCACTGCAGCCTCCACCTCCTGTGTTCAATCGATTCTTGTGCCAGCCTCCTCAGTAGCTGGGATTACAGGCGTGTGCCTACCCCACCCAGCTAAGTTTTGTATTTTTAGTAGAGATGGGGTTTTGCCATGTTGGCCAGGCTGGTCTCGAACTCTTGACCTCAAGTCATCCCCCCGCCTCAGCTTCCCGAAGTGCTGGGATTACAGATGTGAGCCACCGCGCCCACCGCTTGTCCGTTTTTAACATAACCACAGTGGCATTGTCCACCTGCAACGAAGTTAATGGGAGTTCCCTGGTACCTGGCATTGCCTGGCCTGGACTCCATTTCTCCCTGCCCCTCGGCCCCCATGTCTCCTGTCTGCTTACAAAGTTGTCTTATTCAGATCAAGACCCAGACAGGTCTGTGGGCGCTGGCTCCTGGCCGCTGTGTCTGCAGCCTCTTTGTGAGCTAGGCTGTCTCAATCTGACACCTGCCCCTTCCCTATCCGGATCCTCCTTTCTCTTCACGAATGACTCACTGCTTCTCAGAGGCTGGGCATCCTGTTGAGTGGTTTCTGTCCCATAGCTCCTGGGCACGCTCAACCTTTCTTAGAGGGCAGAAACCCCCGCCTTCCCCAAGGACTGTCAGCTTGGTAGCCCCTGGCTGAGTTTCCACACAGACTCAGCGAATGTTACACACTTCCCTCCTACTGATTTTTCTTTTTCCATCTCTGAGAAGGCCCTGAGCCAGCCCTTGGTGAGGGCCATGCTGGTGTCTCCAGTATCCTCAGAGCAGGCAAGGCTTCGGGCAGGGGGAAGGGTTTGGAAACCGAGGCAGGTGGATCACTTGAGGTCCCCGACAGCACCCACAGGGGCTGGGAACTGGCTGCTCACGGAGCCACCAGGCATGGCCATCCCGTGTCTGGCCTGCAGCGGGTGGACTGGCGTGAGCTTCGTGGCATGTAGTGCGGATGTAGGGGCGAGGAACTGCAGGAGGTCAGGCCCTGCCCAGCTCCAGCTGACCCCCTGTGGCCCTGGGTGAGGCCCACCCTCTCTAGCCTGGCCTCCCTCATCGTGAGGAGCACCCAGCCCAGGGGCTGCCTGTGATCATGGGGCTCCTCCACCCCGCCTGCGGAACGTGCCATGCTATGGGAGCCCGGGGGGAACAGGCATTGGCAGCCAGGGCCCGCCCCGCCTGACGTCCTCCTCTCCCACAGGCCGTGGCCATGGATGCCCTGTCTCTGGAGCAGCAGCTGCCCTACGCCTTCTTCACCCAGGCGGGCTCCCAGCAGCCGCCGCCGCAGCCCCAGCCCCCGCCGCCCCCTCCGCCAGCGTCACAGCAGCCGCCGCCCCCACCACCCCCACAGGCATCCGTCCGCCTGCCCCCTGGCGGCCCCCTGTTGCCCAGCGCCAGTCTGACTCGTGGGCCACAGCCACCCCCGCTTGCGGTCACGGTACCGTCCTCTCTCCCCCAGTCTCCCCCAGAGAACCCCGGCCAGCCATCGATGGGGATCGACATTGCCTCGGTAAGCCCAGGGTGGGGTCCTTTGGGGCCTGGCTGGGGGTCTTGTGGAGGACAGCCGGGGGCTGCAGAACAGTCGGGTTACCTGCTGCATGGGCCAGGGGTCAGGACCCCAGCGAACGCTGCCCAGCCCGGCACTCCACGGGGCTACCCCTTGGAATCAAGCTGAGACTGTCACTACCCGTAGAGATGGGGAAACTGGGCTGGGCGTCGTGGCTCACGCCTGTAATCCCAGCACTTTAGGAAGCTGAGGCAGGCGGATCACCTGAGGTCAGGAGTTCAAGACCAGCCTGCCCAACATGGCAAAACCCCATCTCTACTAAAAAAAAAAAAATACAAAAATTAGCCAGGCGTAGTGGCGGGCGCCTGTAATCCCAGCTACTCGGGAGGCTGAGGTAGAAGGATCGCTTGAACCTGGGAGGCAGAGGTTGCAGCGAGCCAAGATCGTGCCACTACACTCCAGCCTGGGCGACAGAGCAAGACTCTGTCTCAAAAAAAAAAAATAAAATAAAGAGATGGAGAAACTGGGGCACAAGCAGGTGGCTGCCCCAGACTCCACCCAAGATGGGCCACCCCATATTTAACTGCCCCTCTCACCCAAAGCCAGGCGTCCTTGGAGGTGAGAAAAGCAGTGTTCTGGGGCTTGGGTGCAGGCTCCCAGGGGTCAGGGGGTGACATGAGCTCACCAGGGAAGGATGGCCAAAGCCAGCTCAAGAGGCAGTGGCCCATGAGACACAGTGCCTGGGACCCAGGGCCGAGGGCCACAGCCCAGACCATGGGACGTTCTGCCCAGGACCGGGCTCAGGCAGGCCAGGACTGGGTACTGGGCACAGGGGTACTGACCCCTGTAGCCACAGACCTTCCTGACTGTGCAGATCTCTACCTGCTTGCTCCAGTGGTGGGGTGGGGTGGGAAACAGCTGCTGTGGGCCACATCCAGGGGCACAGGGACCTGTGCTTGGGGAACAAGCCCTCCCACCTGACCCCAGCTGCCAACCCCAGGCTAAATGTCCTCCAAACATGGTGTGCTCTGTGAAGAACAGCCGCCGTAGCTGGGCAGGGTAGGCGGGTGAGCCTAAGGTAGAGACCCATGTTCCCAAGCTGCTCTGACCCCTCGGAGGGTACCACCCCGGGCCCCCCGTGGGAAAGTGCCCAAGTCTTTGCTTTGGTGGAAACGTAGCAGGTCCTAGGGGAGGCTCCCAAGGTGGAGCCTCACCCTGGAGCTGGGCGGTTGTCGGAGGTCCAGGGTGTCTGGGCCAGGTACAGGGACGGCCCCTCCAGGGCGCTCAGGTCAGGGTGTTCATGCCCAGCACCCCCAAAAAGAAGGATGGCTTCCTGCCCCCCTTCGAGGACTTCCAGCCTCCTGGAGGCACAGAGAGACTGAGCTTCTGCACAGTCTCACCCAAACGAGAATTTCCCTCTGATCACTTTATCAAAGGACAAACTCTCAGAAGGTCCAAGTCAGTCATCCCTAAGTGACCGTGCTGGCACCTCCATCACCCACACCCTATTGGGCGAGCTCACGGCCACCGCCCCGCCCCGCCCCACCCCGCCCCGTCCCACCTGGACTCAGGCCCTACCTAAACTGCCCATAAAGGACCACTGAGGACGGGGGGAGACAGAGCAGTTATAGGCCCTGGACCGGTCAGGCCGGGCTCGTTCAGTGATAGGCTCAGGCAGGTCAGGTAAGTTGTCTGCAGGCACACCATTTGGCTGGGCCGGGCCAGGACCAGAGTATGGTCTGAATCCAGGGCCTGGCCTGGCCCGGCCTGCCTCTGAAAGGTCTGGGTCATAGCAGGGAGACGCCCAGGCCTTTCGTCCCTCGAGCAGGTGGAAGAAGTGGCAGCCCCTTGGAGGTCTCAGACAGCATAATCCAGACAGGTTTGTCCTGCAGCAGAGCAGGGATAGTGACTGCCCCGTGCTGGGAGCCTGGGCTACTGGCAAGCCTTCACTCAGTCCCCGCCCCTAGTGGCCGGCCAGATCTGTTGGGCTACAGACTTGGGCGCTAAGAGAGCCAGGGGACCTGCCCAGGGCACACAGTGAGGGAGAGCCAGGAGCAGGAGGCAGCGCCCGCCGACCCAGCCTTGGGTATTCCCTGCCCATGGGGGTGTGTGTGTGTGGGTTTGTGGACACGTGTGTGGGTGTGCACAAGTGGGTAGGTGTGGGTGTATGTGGTGTGCACCTGCATGGGTGTGCATGCATGTGTGTGTGGATGTCTGTGCACGTGTACATGTGTGGATGTGTACATTTGTGGATGTATGTTGGGGGTGCATGTGGGTGTGTACATTTGTGGATGTACAGTGAGTGTGTGCATGTGTGGGTGTGTACATCTGTGGATGTGTGTACATTTGTGGGTATATGTGGGTGTGCACATTTGTGTGGGTGTGTGTATGCATGGGTGTGTACATTTGTGGATGTGTACATTTGGGTGTGTGTGCATGTGTGGGTATGTACATTTGTGGATGTGTGTGCACGGGTGGGTGTGTACATTTGTGGATGTGTATACATTGGGTGTGTGCATGTGTGGTTGTGTACATTTGTGGATGTGTGTACATTGGGTGTGCATGTGGGTGTGTACATTTGTGGATATACATTGGGTGTGTGCATGTGTGGGTGTGTACATTTGTGGATGTGTGTACATTTGTGGGTATATGTGGGTGTGTACATTTGTGGATGTGTGCACATTTGTGGGTGTGCGTGCATGGATGTGTACATTTGTGGATGTGTGTACATTTGCGTGTGTGTGTGTGGGTGTGTACATTTGTGGATGTGTGTACATTTGCGTGTGTGTGTGTGGGTGTGTACATTTGTGGATGTGTGTGCACGGGTGGGTGTGTACATTTTGGTGTGGGTATATGTGCAGTGTGTGCATGTGTAGGTGTGTACATTTGTGGATGTGTATACATTGGGTGTGTGCATGTAGGTGTGTACATTTGTGGATGTCTGTACATTTGTGTGGGTGTGTACATTTGGATGTGTGTACATTTGGGTGGGTGTGTACATTTTGGCATGTGGGTATATGTGCAGTGTGCATGTGGTGTGTACACGTGAGTGGGTGTGCTTGTGAGGGTGTGTACGTTTGTGTGTGGATGTGTACACATGGGTGTGTATGCATGTGTGTACATTTGTGTGTGGATATGTGTATATGTGTGGGGATGTGCATGTGAAGGTGTGTATATGTGTGGGTGTGCATGCATGGGTGTGTACATTTGTGTATGGTTATGTGTCTGGGTGTGCATGTGTGGGTATGTACATTTGTGGACGTGTGCACGTTATTGGTGTGGATGTATGCTCGTGTGGGTGTGTGCGTTTGTGTAGTGTGTATGTGGATGTGTGCATGTGTTTGGGTCTCCATATGAGTGTGAGCATGTGCGGGTGTGTACATTCATGTGTGGATGTGTGCACGTGTGTGGGGTTGTGCATGTGAAGGTGCGTATATTTGGGTGTGGGTGTGCCCGCATGGGTGTGTATATTTGTGTGGGTATGTCTGTTTATGTTTGGATGTGTGCACTTGTGCGTGCCTTGTGGGTGCTTGGGTGTGTGTATGAGTGTGTGTGCCTGTGTGGGTGTGTACATTCATGTGTGGATATATGCATGTGTGTGGGGGTGTGCATGTGAAGGTGTGTATATTTGGATGTGCCTGCGTGGGTGTGTACATTTGAGTGTGGATCTGTGTGCACATGGTGTGTGTCTTTGGTTGTGCATTCATGAGAGTGCACATGTTGGCTCTGGCTCTGAGCCTGCTGAGTCAGGGCCAACCCTCTGATCGCCCTCCTGTAGCTCGAGGAAGGACAGTTCTTCACCCTCCACACCAATCCTTCCTGGGAAGCTGGGTTTGGGGGCAGCTCCCCTGAGGTCTCAGGCAGATAGGGCTCAGGGACCCACCTTTCCTGTAGGTGCCCAGGCTCCCCTGCCTACCACTGGGGTGGCACCCATCACCAAGGCGTGAGGGGTGGGGGGACCTGCCTGGGGGCCGACCCGGGCACAGGCCGCTCCCAGGAAGCAGGGACTGGAGCCCCGGGCTTGGGGCAGATGGGTGGCGGCGTGCTGACCTATCTGTCATCGCAGGCGCCGGCTCTGCAGCAGTACCGCACTAGCGCCGGCTCCCCGGCCAACCAGTCTCCCACCTCGCCAGTCTCCAATCAAGGCTTCTCCCCGGGGAGCTCCCCGCAAGTAAGGGGCGCCACCTCCCCCTCGGCCTTTGGGCGCCACGCTCATCTCATTCATGCCCCGTGTGTTCCCTGCCCACTGTCTGTCATGCATTGCTCCATCCCATCCCGTCCACTCTGTCGGACCTGAGCTGTGCACCCACCAGGCTGTACCAGGACAGGGACCCCACACACCCCTTCCCAGGAGCTGCCATTACCCATTTCTGCTGAGCATGAGGTGGGGTGGCGAGGCCTCCTGACATGCATTAGTGACGTTAGTGATGGCTGTGGCCCTGCGATGGTACCGCTTGAACGTCCCCATCGAGTGGCCCAGGGATGATGCCCTCCACACCCAATATGCTGCCCAGAGCGTGAGCTGGAGCTTTGGGGGCTCCCCCGGCTTGGGGGTGCAGCCGAGGTGGCTGGCCGGCCTGCAGGGGAGGCGCTGACTCTTCAGGGCCCCCGTCCCCATTCCACAGACAGGAGACTGAGGCTGGCCTCAGACCACACTCATCAGCCCTGGGTTTTCCTGCTGCACCCAGCACTGTAAGACCCTGGCTGGCTGATGACGCGGCCCGTCCCAGGTTCAGGTTCCTCGGAATGCCCCTCTAGCCTAGTCCATGGCTGATGGAAGCGCCCAGCCTGGCTCCCCACTCTCCTTCTGGTGTTCTACTGGGACATCAGCTGTGTCCAGTAGACCCCACATTCCATCCAGAACGTCTGTCAGGGGAGAAGGGGTGCCCACAGGCCAACATCCGGCCCCCACCTTTTTTATCCTGGCAGCAGTGCCTCCCCAGAACCCCACTATCCTGGGACCATCTCATCCACAAAACCACCAAGCTAAGAAGCCCCTAGAGCCACTGCTGTGCCCGGGGCCCTGAAGCCATCCCCGTGCCTGGTAGAGGGGATGCTCTCATCCCTGCTTCCCAGCTAGAGAAGAGTCGCCCTCCAGGGCTGAGGTTGGGCACCCTTGTCCCAGGGCACAAACCATGAGCGCCACAGGCAAGGACAGTGAAGCCCTCTGCCCCGTCTCCAGCTCACACCAGCATAGGGACATCTGCCCCATCAGCCAAGGCCCATCTGGGGCCACCACCTGTAGCCCCCTGCTCTGGAGGCAAGCTGGGGTGGCAGCAGTGGTCTCAAGGCACCATGGGGGGCAGCCTGGTGTCTGCACACGCTCGGTCTGTCCACACCGGCCCTCTGGGCTCTTGGGTTCTGGCAATGTGTCTGGTCTCGTGTTGGGGATGGGGCTGGAGGGGCTGCAGAAGCGGCAGATGGGGCTGGTTCCTAAGTGAGGTCTGTCTTGCGTGTGAGACAGGACAGGAATTAGGGGTCGAACCAGTTTCTCTCAGAGAGTCCCTGGAATGGCTGATGAATTCTCGGGCCCCAAGCCAAAGTGGGTTTGTCTGCTGGGCAGCGAGCAAGTGACGGTCTCGGCAAGCCCATATCTGTATGTCTTGTCCATCATGCGCCGGTGCGGGAGTCAGGTGGCTCATGGAGGTGTGGGTATGTCAGGATGGGGCTCTCAGGGGCAGATGGTTCTAGGCGGAGGCAAACCTGCCTTCCCTCTGCACTGGGTCTTCGAGGACTCATCCATCGGTCCCACAGGCTCAGGCCACCACACACCTGCTGTGCCCGGCCTCAAGTGGGCACTCTGGGCAACCCAGCCCGGCCCTGGGCCGCAGGCAGCTGCCGTTTGGTCCAGGTTGTGGCTTTCTCCTGACTTCCAAGCTTACCTTCCTGGCAAGCCCCTAGAGCCACTGCTGTGCCCAGGGCCCTGAAGCCATCCCTGTCCCTGGTAGAGGGAAGCTCTCGTCCCTGCATCCCATCTCGTCCCATGGCAGCCTCACAGGGAAACCTCAACCTCCCCTGGCGTGTGCCAGGCCATTCTGAGCCCAAGGCCACAGGGACAGGTTCAGGTGCCATCCTGGAAGCTTGGTCCTACCCCGCACTCTGAGCCCCAGGACAGACCCAGCTTTGGTTGAGACCCACGGCAGCCATGATGTTACCTGTTGCCTGCCTCCCTCCACTCTGGCAAACCCAGCCATAAGCTTGCAGTCCTTGTTTCCAAAACCTGGAGCTATTGATTTTTAGGGCCAAGATAATGTTTTTGCCACACGGACTGGCCTTCCCTTCCTTGGCCCTGCTCTTTACCTCTCCCTGGCGTTTGAATGGGACGTCCAACCTCACAAGCCCCCTCGCCCCAGGGCGAGTGTGTCTGTCTCTGCTGTCCGCCCGCTGACCACCAGGAGCAGCCGGTGGGTTTGTGGCCAGCCCCTCTCTGGGACTGAGGCCAGAGACCCAGGCGTTGGGATCGTTCTAGAACAAAGCTCAGATGAGGAGAGCCAGAGCGTTCGGTCTGTGGGGACGCTCACCAGGATGGTTTGCAGGGCCCATGCCTTACGCTGTAGCTCTGAGAGTGGCTGTGGGGCAGTGGCTTCCTGGGGCCCCCATGTCCCATGGAGCGTACACCAGCTGGAGCTCCCAGCCCCCAGGATGCTGCCAGGCCTCTGGCAGCCGCAAGGTCACACTGCAGCTGTGGTCCCCAAGGCCTCGCTGGCGGCCACCCATCTCCTTGCCTCCACACCCCAGCCGGGCCTCATCCCACCATCTCTTGGGCAGGGGCTCCAAGTGTCCCCTTTCTAGCGTCTCCACCACACATAAGGTCCCCTCGCCCCTCCTCCTGCCACAGGGACAGCCCCTGTCCCCCTGCCTCTAAGAGCCCCCCTGGCCTCGGAGAGCAAGAGTAGGGCCCGTGTCCCTCGGGTCTGCAGCCCCGGGCGGGGTCTCTCCCTGTGCCTGTCCTGTGCGCTCTCCGCTGGTGGCTGGCTCCGCACCCGTCCTGTCCATGTACGTGGCCTGCGTCCTGTCCTTTGTCTCCCTGGGGACCCGTCAGGAGTCACCAACTGCATCTTCCTTCCTGAATGTGACGCCTGGGCAACTCCTGCCTTCGCCATGGTCCTCCTCTGGGCCCTGTTGGGTGGGGGTTCCTCATCCCCGTGGCCCCCAACTTCCCTATAATGCAAATGGAGTCGCCCTTTTCCAGGCTTGAGGAGAGATGGGGGTGGGGCCTTGGGGAGAGAGGTTTGGGGTGCAGAAGCCTCCCAGGAGCATCCAGAATGGGGAGCACCCCCAGAACCCCAAAATAAGCATAATCATCAGCCTCCTGCCGTCCCAGATGCCATCTGGGAGGTTCCAGGGGCCTCTTGTCTTCCAGTCGGGTTTGGGAGGTGCCAACTTCCCGCCTGGCCTCGGGCCGTGACCACAGCAGGCCTCTCTTCTGTCTGCAGCATACTTCCACCCTGGGCAGCGTGTTTGGGGACGCGTACTATGAGCAGCAGATGGCGGCCAGGCAGGCCAATGCTCTGTCCCACCAGGTGAGCGGGCACCCAGGCTGCCAGCCTGCCGGTGCCCAGGACAGACGCTCGCTAGGACCTGGGCCTTGCGAGTCAGGGCTGCACGTGCTCTTGGGGGGCCCCTGCCTGCCCCTCGGCTTTGCCTCTCGGCCCCCGCCCTGTCCCATCTGTGGGCTACAGAGGCTGAGGGTCCGGCAGGAGTGGCCTAGTGCTGCCTCCCGGTGTCTGCGCCCACCCACAGAGCGGAGGCCGAGGACGGAGGGTGAGGGGCAGGCAGGGATGGGACCGTGGCTGTGGACACAGCGCCTCGGCATGGACCATGCACGTGGGTTTGCCGGGAGGTCTTGCTGGCTTTTCATGGAGGCCAGGATCGTGGGCATCCAAGGCGTGCTCACTCACTCGCTCATTCATTCATCCATTCATCCAGCCAGCCTTCGGGGTGGCGAGGAGGCCCCAGGCGACGGGGGAGCGGGGCTAGTGCTCTGCAGCCTGAGTGCTGGGCATCCTGCAGGGGCGGCATCCCCAGCTGCGGGCAGGCCAGCCAGGCAGGCCCACAGTGGCCCTCACGGCCCGGTATGCCTCCCTTCCCAGCTGGAGCAGTTCAACATGATGGAGAACGCCATCAGCTCCAGCAGCCTGTACAGCCCGGGCTCCACGCTCAACTACTCGCAGGCGGCCATGATGGGCCTCACGGGCAGCCACGGGAGCCTGCCGGACTCACAGCAGCTGGGCTACGCCAGCCACAGTGGAATCCCCAACATCATCCTCACAGGTGAGGCCAGGCCGGGGCGCGTGTGCGGTGCCCCACGGGGCCTCAGCCCATGCGGAGACAGCCAGAGACCCCTGCCCCGAAGCAGGAGGGTTGACAGAGCTGGGGCTGTGACCTAAGCTCAATGGGGGCCTGAGGAGGCCATGCTCCCTCTTTCCCCAATGTGACTCGCACCTGGACCTCAGACCAGGGAGACGCCCCTGGACCAGATGCCCCGGGCTTGGGATAGAGCTGATCACTCTTCCCCTCTCGGCGGCCTCCTGTCTGGCCACACAGCCCGGGGAAAGGTCAGACAGCTGGGTGTGCACGGTGTCCCCTGCCAAGGCCACTGACCTGTCAGCTGAGTGTGCGCCAGAGCTGTGGACGGCAGTGGGGTCGGCCCTGCCTGGTGAGCCCAGCCCGGGCAGCCAGCTGACGGGTAAGGGCCGTGAGGCACTGTGACAACCACACCCAAGCAGTCTGAGCACAGTGCCTGGGGTCCTGAGGACAAGCCAGCCCGGTCCTGCGTGGCACATGTCAGGAAGACCCAGCTCTGTCTCACACAGAACCCAGACGCTCCCAGGGCCACCCAACTTGTTCTCCCCCATGAAGAAGGTGATTCCCTTACGAGCCAGTGCTGCCGAAATGAGGGTGACACCCCCTGGCGGTCCTCAGCCTCTTCCAGGCTGGAAGGGTCCATATTTAGTGCCCCCAACTGTGGCCTGGGCTCTGAGTGCAGAATCCAGCACCTCCTTCCCACCCGTAGGCGTAGGCAGCAGTTAGCGAGAAGTTCAAGGGTGGACGAGCCAGCCGCAGACTCAGGAGAAGAAGAATGTAGGAATCTGACCACTGGGGTGGCCTCAAGAGCCCAGAAAGACAGGGCCTTTCAGACCCACTTCTCAGACCTGGGAACTTGAGTACAGGCTGAAGCCCAGGTTTGATCCCCAGTCTTTGTTGGGGAACTGAGGATTCCCTTCAGCCCCAGCAGCAGCTGGGTCCCCACAGTCACCCCAGACAGCTTCTCAGTGACTCATGCTGAGCAGACCTCATGGCAGAGCCAGCGAGGTCCCTGCTCCCGCCAGGTCACACTGACTTGCGTCTGTAACACAGCCCTTGGCCTGAGGCTTCTCCTGGTGCGGCTGACATCCGGGGCCAGACCGGTCTCTGAGGTCCAGGCACTGTAGGGTGCTGAGCAGCATCTCGTGTGCTGGTAGCATCCCCTCCCCCAGTCTTGACAGCCAGAATGTCCCCAGGCAGTGCCAGCATCCCCAGGGGACAGAGTCACCCGCTGGGCATGACTGGGCTGGCCCATGGATGTGGGTGATGGAGCCAGGGCTAAGCAGTGCCTTTTGTCCCCACCCCATCCCCAGTGACAGGAGAGTCCCCCCCAAGCCTCTCTAAAGAACTGACCAGCTCTCTGGCCGGGGTCGGTGACGTCAGCTTCGACTCGGACAGCCAGTTTCCCCTGGATGAACTCAAGATCGACCCCCTGACCCTCGACGGACTGCACATGCTCAACGACCCTGACATGGTTCTGGCCGACCCAGCCACCGAGGACACCTTCCGGATGGACCGCCTGTGAGCGGGCACGCCCGGCACCTGCCGCTCAGCTGTCCCGACGGCGCCTCCGCAGCCTGGGGACGGCCGCGCTCCGTCCCTCGCCAACGGCCGAGCTTGTGATTCTGAGCTTGCAATGCCGCCAAGCGCCCCCGCCAGCCCGCCCCCGGTTGTCCACCTCCCGCGAAGCCCAATCGCGAGGCCGCGAGCTGGGCCGTCCACCCACCCGCCCGCCCGGGGCAGGGCTGGGATGGGAGGCCGTGAGCCCCCCGCCCCCACAGACCCTCCCTGCATCGGCTCCCTCGCCCCCAGCCCCGGGGCCTGAGCTGTCGTCCCCTGTATGATGCAGGAAGTGTCGGCTCCTGGCGTGGCGGGCAGGCTCAGGGGAGGGGCGCGCATGGTCCGCCGGCGCTGTGGGCCGCGGTGCATTTTCCGACTGTTTGTCCAGCTCTCACTGCCTTCCTCAGTTCCTGGTCCCCCAACCCATCCGCCACCCCCAGCCCGTGGTCAGATAGAGAGTGAGCCCCACACGCCGCCCCAGGGAGGAGGCGCCAGAGCACGGGGCAGACGCAAAGTGAAATAAACACTATTTTGACGGCTGTCTTTTATATTTCTGAGCACACACAGAGCCCTGGCATCCACCGCGGCAGGCGCAAAGTGGACAGAGCACGCGGGGCGGCGGCCCCCCACGGCCCTCCTCGCCCTGTCTCCATTCCCTTCAAGCCCCGCCTCAGCCAGGCAGGCCCTTGGATGGCTGCCTTTGCCGGGAAATGACCGGGAGGCCCATGAGGGCTCACAGGCGGAGGCAGGGTTACCTCCTGGGGCTTTACAACCCTCCTGTCCTGGTCACCGGTCCCGTCACAGATGCTGTCAATTTAAGGTTCAGGGAGAGGTGGCCAGGTGAGTTTCATTGTGGTTCTTTTCCTTTTGGTTTCTATTTACATTTTGGTTGTAGATGAGTCGCCTAACCTTTTAAGGCAACACTTTCCTGAGAGCATGTTTTTATTCCAGAAATCCAACGTTACCTATTTTTTAAGCTAACTAGAATTGGAGGCCACATACCCCAGAGCAGCCCGCCACCCACCCGAGTCTAAGCAGCGTGTCTGGCTTTTGGGTTTCACCCCAGGTTATATCAAAATGAAAGGGCTAGTCGGGCAGGGACTTGGCAGGAGCTCACGGTAGCCAGAGGCACCTCCGCCAGGGCCACATCCCCGACTTCCGCAAAGGGGCCTTGACTTTTATTGAGGGTCTCTTGAAGACCCAGCCCCGCCTGCCTCTCCCAGAGGTGCCTGCCAGTCCTTATATGTGTGTGTGAAGACCCCGTGACCAGCGGTGGCCGAGACCTCTCTGCTCCACAAGAACTGGCAGGGAGCGAGGGTCCCCGGGATGAGTCCCATGGTCCTCCCTGAGAACCCGAGTGGGGCTGGCATTTGTCCCCTCCCCGCCAACCCTCTGGCTCCCAGCCACGCCCACTCTTTCGGGCAGCGTGGTCTGCCGACTACCCCTTGGCAGCTCAGAGTCGTGGCAGGTGGACGTGGAGACACAGTGTGCGTTTTAGTGGCAGGTTTCAGGAGCACCTCCGAATCACCTGGGAGCCTCCTAGCCCCTCCATACCACGGGCCCTTTGAGGGAGGCGTCGGGGCTGGCTTTGTTTTCTGCTGTTCTTGGAATAGGAACTGCTGTTCCGATCCCCCCAAAACTGCATTGTGGCTCTTGCTCGCCCCTGCCTGCCCGGCCAGCGCCTTCTGCTGGGTGCGTTTCTTTGTGGTGTGATGGCCGCCGCTTTCACCGGGGTCCTGGGCACCCTGGCCACTGTCCTCGGGAGCTGGGTTTGATCCTAGCGGCCATTGTCCCTCTCTTTCCCAGGCATCGCTGTTAGCATACGTGGAAGCGGCCGCTCAGAAGGCTCCCGGTCAGTTGCTTCCATTGCCGTCTCGTGCCGAGGTGCAGGGTGGGGGGACATGGTATCTGTCTGTCTGGGTCAAGACCCCTTTCTTTTACCACCACGGACGCTGGAGGCAGACGGCGGGGACTTTTTTTTTTTTTTTTTTTAAGAAAAACTATGTGTACATAGGAGAGTTTGATTACCATTAGACTTGTATGTGGGACTTTTAAAAAATGGCCTTAAAATTACAAGCAACCTGTCTGGATGCGGTTTCCAAAACAAGGCATTGAAGACCTCACCAGGAAACCTCATCAACCCTCATTCCCCGTCTGTCCAGCCTCCGGCCGGTGCCACTACTTATCCCCGGGTCTTTGGTATAGACAGGAGAGGAGGGGTCCCACCTCAGAGCTTCCCAGGCCCGGAGCCCATTTCCAGCATCCAACATTCCAGGTGCACGGTGCCATTGTGCCAACGTGAAGACCTCGGTCCGTCACAGAGTTCTCTTCCAATGAGAACCTGGTGGACTGAGGTCTGAGCTTCCAGGGAAGGTGGGGCCCACGCGGGTCCCTGGGGCCCAGCCAGGAGCCAGCAGCCGGGCGTCCCTGCGTTCCAGAAGGGTTCACACCCCTCTTGGACCTGGGCAGGCCTCCCAGGATCTGCATCACAGCCTTTTGTGTGTGTGTACCTGTAGGTTTTTAAAAATATCACTACTACATACTCTTGAATTGCCAAGACTTTCTGAAACAAGACAGCTTAAGGGAATCAGCCTTTTGCTTTGTGATGTGAACATGCTGTGATTTGGCGAGCCACTTCCTGAGGGACAGGCCCGCGTGAGGGGCTGTAGTGTGTACATAGACCCACTGCCTGTGTCCTTGGTCAGGCTCCGATACTTGGTCCGCGATGGGTCAGAGAATGCTCCCGCACCCACCCGCCCACGTGCTCCTGGCTTCTGCAGCCCCTGCTCTGTGCACACCGGTCCCCTAAGGTGACGTTCGGGCAGGGCTCTCCTGAAAGCATGATGTCCCCACCTGCCTGTTTCCCTCCGTCACTCCCCAGGGTGGCGAGTCTTGTAGGTGGAGGGTGGAACCCAGGTCAGCCTCTCTGAGTCCTCCAGGGAAGAGGGTTCTCTGCCCGCACCAGGGCCCTGCTTGTGGGATTTCAGCTCTGGGGAGGAAGGTATTGGCATTGGTGTGTTTGGTCTGATTTCTTCAGGAGGCCAAGCTCCCGGGAGGACCCCTAGCCAGGAGGATCCCCCATGTCCATCCATCCCTCCTGCTGGGGCCTGGATGTCAGGCTTGGGGGCTGTGAGCTGGGACCTCGCCCTAGCCCGGTCACTTGGGACAGGAGCCTGCCAGAGGCCCATGGGTTGCTTCTATTTTATTTTTTTATTGATGAGATCTTGCTGTGTTGCCCAGACTGGTCTTGAACTCCTGGGCTCAAGCAATCCTCCCTCCTTGGCCTCCCAAAGTTCTGGGGCTACAGGTGTGAGCCGCTTCTGCCCAGCGTCCCAGGCCTGACCATTCTCGGCAGGACCCGCCCCTAGAGGGGGCTCTGGCGCCCCCCTCAGGCAGGCCTTGAGCTGGTTTCTAACCAAACATCCTAACTCCAGCTGCCACCTGCTTCCTGAGGTTTCTGTATTTCCAAGGAGTCCCCTGACCAGGGATAGGCTGGCAGAATGAAGTCCAGCAGTATTAGGGGGTCCTCTGTCGCCTGGCCCTGAAAACAGCAGCTCCCATCACCTTCACTGGGTCCTGATGGAGCCGTCTCAGAGGCCGAGGGGCCCACCATGTGGGGTGGGACACAGGGGTTCTCAGTGCAAGGGCCACAAACCGATGGCACAGAGGTGCCCCCGGGCCTGGCCTGTCACCTGCAGGTGGTGCTCCAGGACAGGGCATGCAGGCCGACAGCAGGGGCAAGACTGGGCCCCTCCCTCACCCTGGGAGGCCTGCCTGGGCTATCTGGACACCTGGGTCTCTTTCTACCCCCATTCACCATGGACCAGGGGCCTCCATTTCCTGGGGGGATCTTGTGGCATGTGATTTGGGGGTCCCCGGGATGTTCCCCAGCCAGCTCCACCTGAGCCAAATGTCTTGTTCTCCATGGCTCTTGGCCTTCCGGGGTCCTGACCAGGCAGGGGTCAGGTACCCCATACCCGTCCATGTGGCACAGGTATCCACCCACCCCCACTGGCCACAGACACCACTCTCCCCTTGGGAGCAGGAGGTGGAGTAAGCTGCACCGCGAGGCCTGGGGGCTGGGGAGGTCCTGAGGGCAGGGGTGCGGCAGGAGCCAGTGCCTCATGATCCAAGCCTCAGTTTCTCCCCTGTCACTTTCTCAGACTTGCAGGCCCCAGGCCTCAGGCCCCAGGCTCCTCCTGAGCAGGATAGGGGGCAGGGCCTGGGCCTTGGAGTGGTGCTGGCTCTGACGATTCCAGAGGCTCTATCCACCTTCTGGGCTCCTGGCCAGCACCCCATCCAGGTGGCACTTGTTGGGGTTCGGGGGTGGCCCCCATCTTGAAGTGTTCTGGAATTTGGGGCCAATCCATGCCCAGCGTAGCCCAGCCATCAAGCACTTCTGACCTCCTGCCCACCAGGGACAAGAGGACTTAGCCATGGCCTTGGCCACCAGGCCTGGGGAGGGAGGGCTTTGGCAGGCAAGGTCCGCTGGCCCTGCTGTGCCCAAGTAGGAAACTGCCCCCAAGGGGCTGCGTGGCCCCACTGATATATGCAAACCCGCTGGTCCGAGCCCTTTTCCTGCCTGTGCCCCTCTGTGCCCAGGCTGGCTCTCCCCCAATCCCAGCATGTATACTTTGCCACGGATGTCCCGTGGGCCGTGATCGTGGGCGGCCACAGCGGGGGGGGGCAGGCGGCTCAGGGCACACTCGGCCGTCCCTGTCCCATCCTCTGGCGCGGCCGCTTTTGTCTTTGTACCTTTGCATCCTTTGTAATGAAACATAATAAAAATCCAACGTTTTCGTCACTGGCTCCTCCTCTTTTTCCCAAGCCCCTCCCTCCCTCAGGGATGACACGTGGGTGTGGCAGACACACCTGGCAGGTGCCTTGGCCCTTCCAAACTACACACACACAACCCAGACCAGGCAAGGGGAGGGATCCCCATATCTGGAGGCGACTGCAAACCCACCCCCCAGTGTCCTGGGGTGGACACTGTATCAGGGGTCTCAGTTCGCCCATGGCTGGCATCCAGGCCTGTGATCACGATGGCGGTGGGTCGAGGAGGCAGACTTGGGGGCCTCCCCAAATACCAAGCCACAGTTGGACCATCCCCGCCAGGCCACTGGCACTCGCCAGCAGCTGCAGCACTGAGGCCTTGGTTTGGGGTCCCCTGGCCCAACCCTCCCTCAGAGGCCTGTCCCTACTGTCTCCCTGCAGCAAAAACCACAGCGCCGCTCCCCGCACACACACTTTATTTTGTCCTCTCTGAGCCCTTCTTGCTTCCCCCTCAGGACAGCCACCCCTTGGGGCTGGGTGCAGAGCCCCATCAAGCCTTGGTGAGGGTGGCTGCCATCCCTCGGCGGGTCACCTCCCTGGTCCCTAGGCTCGCCGTAGCTGATGGGTCTCATAGTCCTCCGGGATGGTGTCTGCAGGGAGAAGGTGGGCAGGTGAGGGCTGGAAAGGCCAGCAGGGCCTGTGTGCAGACTCCCCGCCCGCGCCCCGCTGGCCCTCGGCTCACCATTGCAGCGGTAACGCAGGTTGGCCCAAATGATGTTCTCCTGGGAGAAGCAGAAGACCCCCAGGCGGCCGCCCCGCATGGTCGTGTCCAAGACCACGTTGCTGTCAGCCACCAGCTCAGGCCCCTCATAGAATCGCACCCTGAGGGTCAGAGACAGTGAGGGGTGGGGGCTGGGACCTGGGTCAGGCCCTTCCCTCTCAGAGCCTCAGTGGCCAACCCTGGAAGATGGGTACCCCCGACTGGGCTGCGCTCAGAGCAGGTGGGGCCTCTGCCCTGGGCCTCAGTTTCCCTGTTTGGTGGACATCAAGGGCTCTGCACACAGTTGGTGCTAAACAGAGCATCTGGGCTTGCTAGCAGCATGGAATGGAGACTGAGGAACAAGCCAGGTGAAGCCCCATTTCTAGCCGGACACGCACTGTGTGCTGTGGCCTGCCCTGGGTCTTGCTCTGTCACCCAGGCTGGAGTGCAATGGCACGATCTCACCTCACTGCAACCTTCACCTCCCAGGTTCAAGCAATTCTCCTGTCTCAGCCTCCTGAGTAGCTGGGACTCCAGGCTAATTTTTTTGTATTTTTAGTAGAAACGAGGTTTCCCCATGTTAGCCAGGCTGTTCTCGAACTCCTGACCTCAGGTAATCCACCTGCCTCTGTCTCCCAAAGTGCTGGAATTATAGGCATGAGCCACTGTGCCTGACCTGATTTTTTTTTTTTTTTTTTTGTAGAGACAGGGTCTTAACTATGTTACCCAGGCTGGCCTTGAACTCCTGCACTCAAGTGATCCTCCCACCTTAGCCTTCCAAAGTAACGGGGTTGCAGGTGTGAGCCACCACACCTGGACCAGCATAAGTTCATTCTAACTGCCCCGTATCCTTCCTATTGTACAGATTAGGGGACCAGGGTCACACAGCCCCTGCCTGGCCAGAGGACTTCCACCTGGGCCTACATGTCCCCGGCCCAGCCCACTGCAGAGGGTGGAGTTCCCACCTGATGTAGCCCACTTGGGGCCGGTGCTGCAGGAACCAGCGATAGGACATCTTGTCCTTCCAGCCCACATTTCGTGGGTCCTTCCACAGCAGCCGCACCTGGGACTCTGTGTCTCCTGTATGCCACAGTGCGTTCCGCAGCTGTTCCCCAGGGCCCGTGGAAGACTTCACAGCCTGCCAGTGCCCAGGAAAGGGGATCAGATACCTTGTGGGCCACTGGAGCCCCCCTAGAAACCTTCCTGGAGAGACAGTGGGGAGCAGCAGGTGGTAGGCAACCAGGGGAGATCTGGATAAGAGACCCACAAGGAAGCCTTCTTCAGGGGCCAAATGGGAGCTTGTGGCTAGGTCACGGAGGGCAGCAGTGGTCTGCATGTTCATGAGACGATTCGGGAGTCTGTATGTGCAGGTTCAGGGTCTGGAAGGACTGGGGACTCTGCAGAAGGACTTGAAGACTAAGGAAAAGTTCAGGATGAGGCTGGGCGCGGTGGCTCATGCCTGTAACCCCAGCACTTTGGGAGGCCGAAGCAGGCGGATCATGAGGTCAGGAGTTCAAGACCAGCCTAACCAACATGATGAAACCCCGTCTCTATTAAAAATACAAAAATTAGCCGGGCGTGGTGGTGTGCATCTGTAATCCCAGCTACTCAGGAGGCTGAGGCAGGAGAATCGCTTTAACCCAGGAGGTGGAGGTTGCAGTAAGCTGAGACCATGTCACTGCATTCCAGCCTGGGCAACAGAGTGAGACTCCATCTCAAAAAAAAAAAAAAAAATCGTTCAGGGCTCTGCGAGAGGGTGTAGGGTCCATAGGAAGACTGAGGGACCCTAGGAGTGTTCAAGGGCTTGTGCAAGGAACTGGGAGGATTTGGGGACTGTGGGAGCCCAGAGGAGAGCTGGAAGCGCTCTAAGGTCCATAGTATGAGGTCGGGAGGTTAGGAGGCTATAAGGATTGTAAAGGGTTGTGGGGAGGATCATGGGAGGGCACGAAGACCACGGAGGTCAGGCAGGACCCTGGCACCTTGAGCTGGATGCCCGGCTCAGCCACGGCGCGGAAGGGGTTCGCCTGCCAGTACGTCTGCTCCATCTGCTTCCACATGACCACATAGAAGCTGGAGCTGTCTTGGTAGCCAAAGATGAAGCCCGCGTAATCGTCATCTGTGACAGTGTTCACGTGGAACGTGCCCTCGAAGTCCACGCCATTGAAGGCAGTATAACCTAGGAATGAGAGAGAGCAGTGGCCTTTCCGAACGCCAGCCCCAGCCCCCGGAATCTGGCACCTAGAGTCTGAACCTGCCTCCTGAGCCCAGCTCTCCCTGCAGACTCTCCCCATCCCCACTCGGGGGGCCCAGACTCGGCCACGCCCCCATCTACGCTTGGCCACGCCCCTCCAGAGTCCAGACCCACTCGGCCACGCCCATCCTCCGCCCGGGGGGGAGGGGGTTCTGGCCCCGCCCTTCCTGGATCCTGGCCCGCCCCCCTTTGCCCCGCCCATCCTCAGACCCGGCCCGCTCCCTCCAGCCTCGCTCTTTCTTGACCCAGGCCCGCCCCTCCTCTGGCCCTACCCATCCTCAGTCCGGGCCCGCCCCTCCTCTGAGCCCGCTCCCTGAAGGGTTGCGCTGCTCCCCGCTTCTCACCCACAGCCAGGCCTGGGTCGCTGTTCATTGTCTGCACGATCTCCCTTCCCTGATGGGGTCAAAGGAAGGAGGGCCTCAGGCTATTTGTGGCAGCCCTAGGCACCCCGTCCTCGGCATAGGCCTCGCTGTGGGGGTTCTGGGCTCCCCTCAGCCCCCACTTGGACTCCGCTCCCACCTGGTTGAGCACCACCCAGTTGGGGTCAATCTGCGCGTCACCCTCCGGGTCCAGCACGACTGTCTGGTAGGCCCGGAAGTCGGTGAGGGTGACCTCAGCGTTCTCCGGACACACGTCGATCTTGTCTACCACCTTATCTGCATCAAAGTCGCCCTGGCACGCGTCGCCCACGCCGTCCCCTGGGAGGTGGGAGACCCCCTCGTGGGCTCGGGTCAGGCCCTGCCAGCCCTAGCCCCTCCGCAGGAGCCCCATGGGCCCCGCCCCCGCCGCAGGCCCCGCCCCACCGCAGGCCCCGCCCCACCGCAGGCCCCGCCCCCGCCGTACTGTCCGAGTCCTCCTGGCCGGGGTTGGGCACCAGGCGGCAGTTGTCTCGACTGTCAGGGACTCTGTCGTTGTCGTCGTCGTCGTCGCAGGCGTCACCCTGGCCGTCGTGGTCCGAGTCTTCCTGGGCGCTGTTAGGCACTGTGGGACAGTTGTCCCGCGAGTCCTGATGTCCGTCTCCGTCCCTAGAGTGGATAGGTGGGATCGAGAGACAGTGAGCTCTCCAGAGCGTTTTGTCAAGGGCTCCCCTGACGCCCACCCCAGGCGGCCTCCTTACTGGTCTTGATCGCTGTCACAAGCATCTCCCACAAAGTCGTGGTCCACATCCCCCTGCGGGGGGAGCAGCATGCGAGGATCCACAATCAGAAGAAATCAGAAAGCCTCCCACCCATCCCAGCCGCACACCGAAGGTCCTCCTGACCCCAGGGAAACCCCAACCCCAGGCTGCTCAGACTGGGAGGTCATTTCTCTAGCAGTGTGAAATGCTCTAAGTTGGGCTGTGGCCTGGGAAGCTCACCCGGGGGGCTCACCCAGCTGGGGCCTGGCCTGCCCTCACCTGGTCCGGGTTGCTCTTCTGGGGGCAGTTGTCACAGGCATCCCCTACACCATCTCCATCACTGTCCTTCTGGTCTGAGTTGGGTACTCTGGGGCAGTTGTCAGCCTGGTTGCGGATCCCTGTGGGAACCCACGGGACGAGAGCCCCAAGATTGGGACCAGGCCAGGATGACTTCATTAGGGTGGGGCCAGCCCTGAGTGGCCTGGGACAGAGCCCCAGCTTCATGGAAACTTTTTTTTTTTTTTTTTTTTTTAGACGGTTTCACTCTTGTCACCCGGGCTGGAGTGCAGTGGCCTGATCTTGACTCACTGCAACCAACACCTCCCAGGTTCAAGTGATTCTCCTGTCTCAGCCTCCTGAGTAGCTGGGATTCCAGGCATGCGCCACCACGCCTGGCTAATTTTTGTATTTTTAGTACAGACTGGGTTTCGCCATGTTGGCCAGGCTGGTCTCGAACTCCTGACCTCGTAATGTGCCCACCTTGGCCTCCCAAAGTGCAGGGATTACAGGCATGAGCCACTGCGCCAGGCCCACGGGAACTTTAACAATGGATGGGCCCATCCGAGGTAAGGCCAGTGAGGTGGACCGGCCCTCACTCCCGGGGTGGCTCAGCTGGGTGCCCAT